ATTGGAGGATATTGCTTCCTAATTTTGTGAAAACGGTGTTGTCGCCGAATGAGGTTAATTGAAAGTGTTGCTATAACTAGGAGTATCCATAATTTCTTGGTTATGGAGATTTGAAGGTGAGCTTACAGTTGGAGCATTACAGGGATTCGTAAGACAATGGTTAGCGATATTTCATGAAGCTTTGTATTTATAGCAGATTAGACTGAGAAATGAATATTCTATAGGAAGTATTTTCGTTATTTCCTATAAACCTATCAGGTACGACAAAATTATATGGACTGACATAGCCTTTTCATCAGAAACTTAGTATTGACGATATTCCGGTAGCTTTGAACTAATCCTAAAAAAATGTTTAAATCATATTTAAGCCAATATCTTTCAATTCGTGGCAAAGTGCTTCATGAGGAATAGTTGAAGATACATTTGAAAGTATTAGTCTCTCAGCTGGTGTTATAAGTCGACGTGCCTTTATACTTTGATCTTGAACCTCGATTGAGCTGTGGGAATTCATAAAATCCTCTAACAATTCTTACTAGTAAGATATATGCAAATTCTATTATTTGATAAACGGAAACCCAAATATTTTTGGGTCATATTTATCTTCCTAATTTAATCCCTGATCCTTTTTTGGAAAGTGCTGCTGGTCTAAAGCTGTGGAATATGAAACAGTGGTAAATTCGCTTTGAATAGGGGTGGAAATAGACTCCATAGTTATCTTGGACAGTGGGCCCGAAATTCTCGGCGCTGACCTGTACAGTTGCTACGGAATGCACACCTCAACACACCTAGTATCAATACGAAATTTTAAGGTTATTTACATTGTAAATCGAAACCAATTTGATTTGCGACTTAATAATTATATACAGATGACTTACAGACTTATAATTTATGCTAATTATTGTACTATAACTTAACTAAACACTATTCGTAAATCCTACCGTAAATTGCAAATTTTGTAGGACCGAAGAAGAACACTGTTTGCTATTGTACCGCCAGGGAAGGCCTTCCGATATAGTTATTGTGTATGTATAAATGAATGAAAAAAATCTTTGATATATATGCCGTCAGGTCATAGTTTACAATTTAAAATGAAGCAAAACTTCTTGTATGTCGAGTTTAATTAGTTAATCTCAATGTTGTCATCAATAGCCTTAAGATGATTTATTATATCTTCCAAAGATGTATCTGGCGACCAGTTGGTTGTATGATTGTAGTTCATAGTTCTTTATACAGCTGGCTTTAGTTCAAGGGGTAGTAGTAATGTTTTATGTTTAAAATGAAAAAGACAGCAAATATTTGATTTCACGCAAAAAGCGCCTATGTATCTGTTGATACGTATTTCGACCTAACACGTCTCATCAGAACAGTTATTCATAGGTGTTCTTAACGTGAAAAATCAATATTTTCTGACTTTTAAGAAGCAACACTAAAATGGCTTCAATACAGATGCAATAGAGACATCTAATAATAAAAAAATTCGTCTGTATTGAAGCCATTTTAGTGTTGCTTCTTAAAAGACAGAAAATATTGATTTTTCACGTTGAGAACACCTATGAATAACTGTTCTGATGATACCTATTAGGTCGAAATACGTATCAACAGATACATAGGCGCTTTTTGCGTGAAATCAAATATTTGCTGTCTTTTTCATTTTATTCGGATATACTCTATGTGAGTACGAGAAACACAATTCGCTAAGGATTTCTGCTTAGTTGTAAAGACATGTCGTGGAATGCAAATTTTAGATTCCCCATGTCCCTTTTAACATCTTTTATCAACGTCTGTTTGCTTTGCAATTTTTAGAAGGCTCAGATTATAAGCAGAAATCTGAATTGTGTTTCGAAACTATTTTACGGATGTTTTATGTTTATTGGTATTGGTGTCATTTTGAGAAGCTAGAATTTGTTTGTCACTCAGTTGAATTACATTGGAACATAAATTCGTGTGCTTCAGGAACTGCTGCTGCTACATTGGAAAGCGTCATTTCAGGTTGTTTTATTTGGCAATTGGATAACTTTTTTATCTAATTTGGAGGTGCTTTGATTATCTAAAGCATTTCTGTCAGTTTTATTTATATTATTAATTTCATGGTTTAATAATGATATTTGATCTTATAAGGCTTTAAAAGCAATTTCTTGGTTGAAAATAATCTTATCCTTTTGCTCAATCAGATCTTTCATATAATATAATATGTAGAACACTTATGTTACCATGACTACTTTTGTCAGATAATTGTTGATTTATCTTTATTACAGTTTTATTGGTATCACGGCCTGTATGTAATATATTCCCACAAGTAATACAGTAATGCACAGTAATCCCGTCTGGGCGGTTTTTTTACATCTCTTGCATTTGTTAATATTATTGTCCGACAATACATCCTCATCATACATTATTATCAATAACTATAATATATAAATTCTGATTTAAATATTTACCGTAGTGGAATAAACTGACTAACTCTTGTAGACAGGTTTGAAAGGATATCTGATGTTATTAATACATTTACCATTTATTTTCGGCGTTTATAAATTTTGGCGTAGTCTAGTGCTTCTTTGAAGCGCAATGGAGACATGATACAGCCTTGCCGGATACCTCTTTCCGTTTGGTTCCAATAGGTTTTGAATTATGCCGTAGTCTTTTCCATCTGCCATCAGCTTTTGTAATTTATTCGATAATTATTTACCATGCTTCCCCCTATCAAAAGCTTTCACGTAATATATGAAGCGCAGGTATATTGTTTTCTGGTGATCAAGGCATGTGTGAATTAGTGTTACAAAAAGAGCTTGTCCCGAAAAATAAGCACAGAAGATTGATTGTGTTCTCACAAATATTGCTTAGGAAGTCAATGCAATAATAACAATATAAAACAAAATGACGGTATTATATTTTGATTTGATACAGAGCAGCAACAAGCCGCATATACGTATTTCTATCTCTTTAGATCTCCTCAGTACGGTATAGTTACTACTCCATCGATTTCGCCAGGTAGAAATCGTATGATTACTCTTTTTGTTAATAACAATATACTTATATGTCAATATTGAGGTATTTTTTTATGCAAACATTTCACTTAACGCTTTCTTAAATAATTTTAAAACTTCTTTTTTTTAACATATTTAAAAAGTTTTGATATCAATCTCCAATAGTTTATACGCTTGAAACTAATAATAAAATAATTCGACAGGCTATTGACCAGCATTTTATTAGGAGAAATTCTTCATCGATGAACTGTGGTTTTATTAATCTTAATAAACACACCATATTTGTAATAAGAATTAATAGAAGTGCTAGTTATTTTCAAATAATAATATACATCCGACACACATTCATCAGAATATCGTGGTTAGTCCAGTCAATACTTGTAACAAAAATAGCTGAAGTTGATATTATGTAATGCCTCGGGCTTTTTGGTCTCCTTTTCATAACGATTAGATTCTCTCTTTTGTCTTATTGCTCGATGACTAGAAGCCATACGATTGTATGGCTTCTAGCTTCTAGTAGGCCAATTGTGTATTACACTGGATATGTGTAGTACGTTTCTAAGTAAAATTTTATTTTTGTTCTTGTATTGTCATTTACGTAGGGGCTTATTCCGAGTTTGAAGTCTAGACGTCAATAAACTACGTCTACATGCATTTGTGGGTAGTTCTCAGGAAAAACAATAATTAAAAAAAAAAATGTCGCAAGTAAATAGCTTTGGAACCATATTAAGATACCTCTATGTACCCAACTGATACAAATTTGAACTAATCGACATCGAAAATGATCGGCAACAGATATAAAGTTCCTTATCGAATTTCTGAACCACTTCTACATTAGTTTAACGCTATCATCGAGATTTGATTGATATTTATAGCATTTTTATATTAAGTATAAAATGAAATTGCATTTGATGTCAACATTGAAAGAAAAGTATATGTGCTTCCGTCTATTGTGAAAACAGTGTAGTACAAAATGTTTATATGCATGTAATGTTCAAAATAACAACCAAACATACGATAATCACTTTTCTAATACCGGCTCTTGAAAGTTGATTTCAGAAACGCAAATCAAAAAAATTAACAATACAATTTTAAAGTCCTCTACCTTAAAATATATAAATATGTCTAAATTGTCAAAAAATAGTTTTTTTAATAAATCACGAGACTTCTGGTTCATACCAAAATGATATTTTACAAAAATGCAGAACGGTTCGGTTGATATCATTTCACTAGTTTCAAACGGTTGATGAACTCGAAATTATTGTTAAAGCATTAACGTGTGAACACGCACGTTCTGGGTAAATATCCGTTAATTATTAAATGGATGAGTGCAATTTCGTTAACGATCACTTACAACAATTTCTTTTTTATATTGTCTAAAGCACGAGCTTATTTTCAACCATACTTGGGGACTTTGAACTTAAATAATTAATTCCATAAGATTAGAACTTATCATACGTTTAATATACAATGTACTCTCTTCTATAGAGTTGAACGGAATATGGACTCCAGATTAAAACAAGTATCACAAAAAAAATACATAAAACGCAATATAGATTGCTCGGTAAATAAATATGGCGTCGTTAGTACGTTCCTAATGTTTTTTATGTCAAAAGAATTCTTAGAACATTGAAAAACAGGACAAACAACACAGAACAAAACGGAAACAACATATAAACACAATGGATGAAAATCAGCTTATTAAACAAATACTAAATTACAAACCAAAAGAAAGAAAAAGAGGAAGACGCCACATGGAAACGAGGAGCGAAGTTTGATTTCCGACATCACAATGTAACAAATGCTTAATCTCTGGAATTAGGAATAAAAAGACTATGAATATAACCTTACAGTATGCATTAAAGGTAAAATATAAACCTCACTCACGCACAAATGGATACTGACACGCCCATCCCTACTTCCTAAACATAATTTTTATATTCAGAACCGTTTATCTTGACGAATAGGTTATTCAACTCAATGGTATTGTAATTTAATAATATAATCGCTACATACCGACATTTCAGTTTGGCTTCTAAATCAGCAGGCATTTTGATTTCCCCTCTACACAATCTTTCATAATGTTCTCTTCCATACGGATCAGAAGGCACATGCACCTCGTCTTGCTGTTGTATATCTTCGGATTCATCATCGCCTTTCTTTTTAGGCGAACTGATTGATTTCTGTAGCTCGTCTTCGTAATAAACCTTATTTCCTAACGCCCTCGGATGTGTTGGAACTATCTCCAAAAGCTTATTTGTTAGATCTAAAGCTAGATGTATATTACCTAAAACAAAAAAGGAGGAAATCATTATAATTTATACCGAACATCAGCTTACAAATTCGAATGTAAATACTAATTTTTAAAACAACCTTACTATTAGTTCGATTTCATTACTTAGAAATTTATGACTCATATTCGTGTGAAGCTTATCTAATATAATCTCTTAAAGGACTCTTTATGTTGTTTTTCTTCTTGTAGGTTCTATCCATTCCGGATGTTATGGCAATATGTATTTTACACACTGCTGCTCTGAAATTTTTCAGCCAGGAAATCCTTCGCCTTGGTGATCCTCGTTTTCCTTCTACTTTTCCCTGTAGAATTAATTGCAGCAACTCATATCTTTCACTGTTACTCATGGTGTGACCGAGGTATTCAATTTTGGCTGATTTTATTGTGGTTAACAGCTCTCTTCTTTTTGTATTATTAATAAAACTTCCTGATTAGTAACTAATAAAACTTCCTGATTAGTAACGTGGTCAATATAAGATATCTTAAGGATTAGACGATTGTTCAACTACAATTATAAAATTGTTTCCTTACATTTTCCGAGATGACATTATCAAGCTGCTTTGTTTTTCAGTTTACATTTCTTATATAAGGTTCATAACGAATTTGGTCATCTTCTACTTTACAGTTTTCTATCCATCTAGTCGCACTCTCTCAGATCTTTCGTTCGTAGCCTTAGTTATCCAGTATTGCATTATTTCTCTTGGGCACCCTCTTTTTCGTTTTCTCTGTTGGTTTCATGACTTATATTTTTTACCAAATTAACTGAGGTAACGATTCTATGATCTTTTGGAAAGAGAAAAAGAAAGAAAAGATACTGTGAGGACATAATAAAGGCAGTTGATAACTAGAAATAATCAATATTTTAATACTACAAAACATCATCATTGGCTCCATAACCCATGGTGGGTCTTGGCCTGCTCACGGATAAGTCTACATTCTCTCCTATTTTTCGCCTTGACTTTCTAGTTTCGTGCTCCCAACATTCTCAAGTCTTCCTCCACCTGATCCTTAAATCGTTCTCTGGGTCTGCCTCTGCTTCTCACTCCATCTATTCTTTGATTATAAATATGTTTTGGCGGTTCCATCTCATTCATTCTCTATATGTGGCTTAACCGCCGCAGCAGGTTTATTTTGATGGACCTAATAATATCAGGTTTGTCATACAGGCGTTAAAGTTCGAAATTATAGCGTCTGCGCCATAATCCGCCCTCCTGTACTCCTCCATAGATGTGCCGGAGGATTTTACGCTAAAAGCATCTTAAACGTTCTTCATCGCTCTTTGTCATCGTCCATGTTTCCGACGCGTATGTAAGGATGGGATTGATAATAGTTCTGTATATCACTAGTTTCGTTCTTTTTGTAACTAGGTTTGTTGTTAAAAATTTTTTAATCAATAGTAGGCTCTATTTGCCAGATATATCCGTCTGTTAATTTCTGTACTTACTGCATTATTCTGATTAATTTGTGAGCCTAGGTACATAAACTCTCTTACTCCCTCGAAAGTATATGTTCCGATCGCTAGATCTTCAGGTTGTGCTGCTTGTATATAATTTGATACTTTCATATACTTCGTCTTACTAGTGTTAACCTCTAGTCCCATTCTTTTTGTTGCTGCTTCAAGCGCATTGAATGATTCTACCACGTCCGCCTTTCTTCTTGTAATAATGTCGATATCATCGGCGTACGCTAGTAATTGTACGCTGCGATTAATAATAGTTCCTCTGGTTGTTATTCCAGATTCACTTATCGCTTTCTCTAGTGCAATAGATACAATATACTACAAAACAACTACTCAAAAAATACTTGTAATATTTGTTGCAATAAAAAAAAGAATGCACTGAGAGACGCACTTTCCCAATAACGAGAAGTGGCGAAGAGATGCAGAGAAACTTCTATGTATACTTGTGCTTCATATACTATAAGAACCTTCGATAAGGTAAAATGCATGATAATCATTAATATACTACAATCATATAAGCTTATATGGCAAGGCCCAAAAGTAATCTCAAATATCTACTGGAAATCGAAAATAAAAATAAAGAATGAAACAGATGAAAATATACTTCATCTAATTTACATACATAGGCGTTATAGCCCGTGACGTCACATGATACCAACACGAAATATTAAGGCGGTAGATGTGTTCTTTCTTAGAATCACTTTAACGAGTACACTGGCATTACAGCCACTAGACATATTTTATTATATACGCGTAGAAATAATATTTAAAGATTTCTATTAATGTTAACTTGAAGAAATACAATAATGTTTCATTTAATTTGTATAAATGCATTATAAAGTGTTTTTATGAAGAACATTAATGTCGGAACACACTGTAATTGTAATCGAACGAAGGTGAAATTTTGGCATAAATTGGTAACACCGTCTCAGGACTAGCAACTTCAACGTGGAGTCATATGTCGCCATGTTACCTAATCCATCGGTAACTCTATAATCCTATATCATTACAACATTATTTTAAAACTAAATGTAATTAAACATATGTAATCGGGTTTTTACCCACATATTTAATCTTGGTGGCTTCATTCATGTACTCCTAGACACTGATGATGGAACATGGTTTCCGAAAACGTTTTGTCTTTTTAACTTAGCCCGTTTGGGCCTAAAATATACCTATTACAAAGGATTTTTAATTAAATTTTTAATACATGGTATACAGCCAACTACAGGAACGTAGATTCCTTGTGGAATTTATTTGACAGTTGCGGTGTTGACACTTTTTGTACTTTATTATTTTGAATTTTAAACTTAATACCTCTTGTTTTATATTTTTACCAATTTAATAAAATCTGTTCTTTTTCGAACAAAATTAGTGTTTTATTTAAAAAATGTCACGTAAGAATTTAAATAGTCGTTGTAAAGAGATGGCAATACTTTTGCAATAATTATGTGACCTATTTGATTTAAAATGGATTCAGGATTTTTTTATACTTTGGCAACTATGTCAACTTCGATCTCTGACGTAGATAATGACGTGCAACGGTATGTAAATTAGATGAAGTATATAATATTTACAACTCATCATTTAAGAAAAAATCGAAGATAAAGGGGATCGGAAGAGTTCAACAATAAAACGTCGATAGCGTTTAGATCAGCGGTAGACAAGATAAAATAGATAGACAACTACTAATGTAGTTGAAAACGTCCCAATGGATCTGAAACACCAAGAAAAAGCGCAGCATTATAACATATATATCGTAACCATGTGTTCATACTTTCGGTTATTGTGGATTTCTGCCCCTAAGTAATTATAATTTTCAATTTTTTTAGCATATTTCCGTTACCCATTTGTAGGTTTATATTTTGGCCCCATGCATACATACATTCACCTTTAGCAATTGTTAGTCTTCATTAATCGTCAGTCCTCATTTGACGTCATCCTCAAATAACTTTCTGGTCATATATTCTACTTCTACGACATTATATTCCTGGGCAAGACTGACTTGCAATTTTCATTTCTTAATTGTATTTCTTAAATAACTTTACTTGCTAAAAATACAAGTATAAAGAATTTACAGTTAAGAACATTGACATCTCTCTTTTATTCGTGGGCAAGACTGGCTTAGAATGTACATTTCTTAATTGTATTTCTTAAATCAATTTACTTGATAAAAATACAAATATCAAGAATTTTCAATTAAGAAAATTGATATCTCTCTTTTTAATATGAACTTTGTAATAGTAATAAGATTTCTAGCTTAGAGTGATGCTACAAAAGCCTTTAGGTCATGCCATGTAGGTCTCTATTATACAATAGCGTGACAAGTTTTTTTACACAATATAATTTTTTTGAAAATTATTGACTTCATACATTCATCATTTTATTAAGTTATTTAAATTCTAAAGTTTCCGTCTCGATCAAGCACACAACATATAACATTAAACTAATATATTACCCTGTTTATAAGTAGAAAATGCTAAATATTCCAAAATATCACTCTGATGTATCGTTTGGTTGGCTTCCTTACGCAACCTTTCGTTGGCTTCGGTCATCCACAATAAAGTGTGGTAATAATCACCGTTATTGTAACTCTGTCGTCCCAGTTCAAAACAGTCAGCTGCAGTCAGTTCAGCACTGTACTTAATTCCATTCAATTCGCCCCTGGCTAGTGAAGATGTGTCTAACCTGGAAAAGAATAATTATTAGAATACCACAACTATTTCATTACATATATCGTTAAAATATTACTAAAACATGGATTTTTCAACAGATTAAAAACGAAAAAGAACTTTTGTAGACTTTATGTAGAAACACGATTTACATAGGTATTTATTTGCTGAAAAAAAAATCAAGCAGAAAGTTCACTTGGGAAGAACCAGATAGTTTCAATGGAAATATTTAAGTATAGTCCTAAAATAAAGAGACCGTAAAAAATAAAAAAAAAAAACGGCTCTAATGATGCTAAAGACCGATTCACATTAGGCGTTCAGGTCACGCTCCGCTCACGATCAAGAATTGTGTACACTATTCACAGTAGGCGCTCAGGTGACGCTCCGCTCACGATCAAGAGTTTCGGTACCTATACTATTCAATTTGGCGGGACTCAGAGAATAGGCACAGTTCCTTGCATATATAAATTTGTTTAACATGTTTAAAGATTTTTCTAACAGTGATTTGGCTGTCATTGCTTTATGTTTGGATGAAGAAGAGCTTCAGTCAACCAACTAACAGCCAAGAATATGGGTGCACAATATTTTAAAAACAAGGAAAACAGAAGGGGAGTTTTTTACTCCGTGTAAAAGTCTCTATGACGATGAAACTAAATTTTTTCAGTACTTTCGAATGACAAAACATAAATTATATTACATTTTGAATAAAATTTCGGCCGACTTGAGAAAACAGGATATCACCTTTAGGGAGGCTATTACTCTAGTAGAGAAGTTAGCTGTATGCTTAAGGTTAGTAAAAACTGTACCATATAAGTATGTCATTTTTTATTAAAAAAAAAGAATTTGCAAAGAAATTACAACTTAAAAGTACACAGTATACAAAATAATTATAAATGTTTTAATCTTAATATAAAAGTAAGTATTAAACAAATTAACAAAAAAAAAATTAAAAACTCCCGTCTGGTGAAAAATGTTCATAATATGATGATGCGGTGAAGAAGGTCTTGATTGGATATGTGTAGGTGTCGAGAAAACTTGAGGAGGTGTATGCAGCAGAGCAGCTCCATCCATTTGGTCACTAAAGCCAGAATTGCGAAAAGTTACAGAACCAGGAAGCGGGTGACACGAAAAGTGTTGTTGTTGATACGGTTGTGCATTAACGTTAGTAGCAACAATGTATTTGTTTTCAATATCTGCGACAGTATTAAATATTGTTCTTTTGACAAGCTGATAATCAGCTGGTGAAAAAGTACGCACTGTTGCTTTAATACGGTCGAAAAACAAATCTATGTGGTCCTTCTTTGTGTTTTGTTGTTCTGCATGTTCTTCTTCTTTTTTACTAAGAATATATTGCATTAGTGCTGCACTTGCGCTTTCTGTAGAAGATCGAGCTTTTTCTGTGTAAACTTTTTGTTTTTGATGCCTGACGAAATGTTTGGTACTGAAACTGGCGTAGTACTCAGATCAAGTCCAATTGCGTCGCAAATTCCTCAGCTGAGTGAAGTAGGATCTGGTTACCCGTATTAAAAGAGGAAATCAATAAAAAGAAAATACCCCAATTAGTAAGTCAATAACATATCGAAAATACATTATTTATGTTTTTAAATAACACATATAAAATTACAGTTTGGTAATTATTGAGAGTAAACTAAATATAAGACCCGAATACTTACCATGTCGGGATAGTATCATGAGGTTTTTTCCTCATGATTTACTATTGAATCACTAACGGGAATATTGTACATGCTATGATTTTTTCTGAGAAGTATTCTCAAGTTAAAGTTGATTTTATGTAATCGAATGAACTAATACTAATCAAACTAATCTAAAATACGATAACCGAAAAAACCAAACACGAATTAAAATGTGACCATTGTAAACTAAAAGAGGAGCAGGAGAAGCAGAAACAAGAACAAGAAAAAATCAAAATGGCATTAAACATGGGAAAAGGGAAAAACATTTATGAGTATATGCGACAGTAAATGGGAAGAGAAAGTATATGTAAAGACAAAGTGGGAACAAGCGGGGCTACTAGAAACAGAAGAAAAAAAGAACTGTATAATATTTACAAAAAAGGAAGCGAAAGATAAAGGTGTGGAAAACACCACTAAAGATGTAGGGGAGGACCTAGCGGAGATGCTAGAAGAAATAGAAGAGGGAGAAATAAATTACCTAGAGAACACTAGAAGAAAAGCAAATAAAAAACAATATGGTATACTTTCGTTGCCAGATTAGACAAAGAGCGGAGGAAGATGCATACGACATGGCAGAAAAGGCTATAAAGGACATAAGGAAAGAAATGAACGAAATCCCAGAGGTCATGCGGGTTGTAGACACAAACGACCTAAATAAGGAAACCATAAAGAAAGCTTTCGAATATGTAGGGCATAGAGATAGTATATCCTGGGAGATTTTAGTAAGAGGGAAGGAATTCGGTGCAGAGAGGAGAGTGGAACAAGAGGAAGTTCTACTCATAAAGATGGAAGGAAAGAAATATAATGAAGTTCTTAGCGAAATGAGATAGAAAATCGACATTGGAAAGATTGGGGTACAAGTGGACAAGCTAAAAAGAACGAATGGGGGAGATCTACTTGTAAAATTAAATGTGAGAGGAGCTGCGGCGAAGTTGAGGGCCGAACTAGACAGCAAAATGAACGGGATGGACACGGCAATCCGAAGAAGGAGACTTTCTTCACGATAACGAGTTTGGACCCTGGGGTGAGTGAAGAAAGTTTAAAAAAAGCAATAAAGAGCTATACAGGCGTCGCGGAGGGAGAGATAGAAGTTAAGGCCCTAAGAGTCAACAGATATGGGGAACAGGTGGCTACGATAGCCGTACGCCCCTCCAGAGCAGAAGAGCTGAGGAGGTACAGCACAATAAAAATAGGATGGGTTGGGTGTCCAATAATGGAGAGACACAACCCAATTAGATGCTATAAGTGCCTAAAGTTCGGGCATAATACATACGAATGCAAAGAAGAGAGCAGGGCGACATGCTGCTCAACCTGGTATACGGATATTGCAGGTTAACGTGGGCAGAGCCCGCCGAGCGCACGATCTTTCAAAACGGGGCATACGGTCGCAAACTGCACCAGCAAACCGTACTGCTCGGTGTGCAAAGAATGGCTTGTCCGTCCTACCGAGCCCTTGTATACGACAGGGGAAGAGAGGGGAACTCATAAAATACGCCAAAAAAAATATAAAATAGACTTTTTGGAAAATGAAAGTTGGCCCATATACAGCCCATATACTGCCCACCTAGGTGTTATTTTATATCCACGAAGTTTATTTTATTATTTTTATTATTTCAATTTATTTTATTTTTTTTATTATTCCAATTTTACTAAACTATTTTTATTTATTAAATGTTTTTATTTATACATATTTTATCCATATACCGTATGTATTTTATTTATATTAGTTAATTTATTTATGTTAGTTTTTTTGGTTTTTAACGTTCTCAAAATACGTGAATCCGATGCAAAAATGACCTCTGGGAACTGAACCAAAGTGGCCCTCAAAGATCAACCTGGTATACGGATATTGCAGGTTAACGTGGGCAGAGCCCGCCGAGCGCACGATCTTGTCCACGTAAAAGTCTGCAAGCTAGAAACAGACCTGCTCATCGTCCCGGAACCAAACAAAAAGATAACGTCATCCGGTGGTTGGGTTCAGGATAACGGAAAAAACGTGGCGGTGCTCTTTAGAAATAGGGGTTTGGGGGTGCGAAGTATTGTTAGGGGAGGAAATCATATCCTCATCAAATTGAGGGATTTCAGCCTCCTGGCATGCTACGTGTCCCCAAATATCCTTATGATAAGATACAAAGAAATTATAGACGAAATAATGAGCGCCGCCACATACGAAAAAGAAGTGCTGATCGCCGGTGACATCAACGCGAAATCAAGGTTGTGGGGTTCCCCCATAAACGACGCAAAGGGGGAATTATGAAACGAATGTATAGCCCAAGCTGGCCTTCAAGTATTAAAAAATAACAAACCAACTTTTGTAAGAGGGGCCAGCCAAACACACATCGATATTGCATTCGCGAGTAAAGGGCTATCCAGGAGAGTGCACGAATGGGATGTCCTTGACGATCAGTTATTCACCTACCACCGGTATATAAAATATGAAATAAAGATGAAAGGGGGAATAAGGCGGCCGATAGGACACACGGAAATTTATTTTAACAAAACCACGTACCTGTTGGAGGTCAGAAAGATCAATGAAAAGGAGATTTCTGACCTTGGCCAACTGAGAAGAGCACTAGAACGTGCAGTAAAGTTGGCCACAGATGCCTCAGAGCTCGAAGGGATTATACGAGAAGCCAGGGCAGCCTCGAGCTCAAAGAAATTTATAGAGATCTAAAGAAAACGTTAAACAAAAAAATAAAACAAGAGAAAAAAGAAAAGTGGCAGACACTGATAAAAGCTTTGGACGAGTATATATGGGGCGATGCGTACAAGATAACCATGAAGACGCTTAAGATAATCGCCCCATATAGACTTGATGTAGACCAGCGGATGGAATCAGCCGAACTCCTCTTCCCTACCAAGGATCCGCAAAATTATAAAAATATTTCCAACAATGGTAGAGGAGTTCAAGGACGAGGAAATAAAAACCGCTGGTCAAGAGATAAAGACAGGGAAAGCTCCCGGCCCTGAAGGGCTGCCACCAGAGGCAATAAAAGTACTGGCAACGGAGAAACCAGGCTTGATCAGAAAAATATACAACGACCTACTGCAGAAGCAAGAGTTTCCCAGGGACTTAAAGGAAGCGAACTTGGTCCTACTGCTAAAGCCTGGGAAACCCTCCGATTCAGCGGCCTCTTATCGGCCAATATGCCTTCTGGACTGCCTTGGTAAGTGCTATGAAAGACTTATCAAGAGGCGGCTGGAGCGCGTGTTGGAAGATGAGAGAATGCTATAAAACCAACAATACGGATTCCGAAAAGGCAGATCGACAATCGATGCCGCAACCTGGATAAGGGACGCGGCCAAGACAAGCAAGAAAAGA